TGCACATCACATGGTGTTAATCAAAACGGCCATTTTTCCATTGCTTTTCCAATGTTTCACGCGTGCTTTACGTGACTTGGCATCATTTTACCCTCTCCTCATTGTTTCCACCGTTGTAATCAATTTTCCAAGCGTTCTACTCAAATTTGCCATTGCTTTCCCATTCTTTTCCCATTGTTCATTGTTTATCCCAAATTTCAGAATGAAGATTGCATTGCTTACAAAATTTGGGCAAAAACTGAACTTCTGCACATCACATGACATGTGTGTCATCTCCTCATATCGAAACTGCAATTTTTCCATTGCTTTTCCATTACGCGATAATGGTCCCACATCGGAGCCTCAATTTTACTTGGCATCATTTTACCCTCTCCCTATTCTTTCCACCGTTTTTCCTCGCGTATCAATTTTCCAAGCGTTCTACTCAAATTTTCCATTGCTTTCCCATTTTTTCCCATTGTTTTATATCATAGTCTCTCATTTTTTCCATTGTTTTTCTCATCATTTTCCCCTCCTTTCCCATTTTTTTCCCATTGTTTTATGTCATATTCCCTCATTTTTCCATTGTTTTTCTCATCATTTTCCATCATTTTCCCCTCCTTTCCCATTTTTTTCCCATTGTTTTATATCATATTCCCTCATTTTTTCCATTGTTTTTCTCATCATTTTCCCCTCCATTGCAATCTCCCCAAGTCCACTTCGGAGGGCGGACCAGGGGGGAATCGATACCCCACCGTCACCCAATTGCCACCTGGTACATAAGCCTAAAAAACTTTACCTGTGGCCACCTTTTTTACCACCTAATTTCCCTATTTTTGGCCAGTTGGGGGCGCTCTGCCCCCAGACCCCCTTAACTCACTTTGTTCGCAAAAAGAACTTCGCCTAGCCTAGCGGCTGGCTTTCGTGTTCCCATTGTTTTACGTCATATTCCCTCATTTGTTCATTGTTTATTATGGCATGAAGATTGCATTGCTTACAAAATTGTGGCAAAAACTGAACTTCTGCACATCACATGTGTGTCATCTCTTCTTGGATACCACAACAAACTAAAAGAATGAGATTTATAATAGATGGTCAAAAATATGATTTCTCAGTATTTGAAGTTAGGTCAATCGGCGAGGCAGCAAAGGACCATAAGAATGCACTAAATCTTGAGCGAATAAGGTATGCTGCCCATCTTGCTAAAAAGTACCATCATGGAACTTCTGCACATCACATGGTGTTAATCAAAACGGCCATGTTTCCATTGCTTTTCCAATGTTTCACGCGTGCTTTACGTGACTTGGCATCATTTTACCCTCTCCTCATTGTTTCCACCGTTGCAATCAATTTTCCAAGCGTTCTACTCAAATTTGCCATTGCTTTCCCATTCTTTTCCCATTGTTTTACGTCATATTCCCTCATTTGTTCATTGTTTATCCCAAATTTCAGACATATGGCATGAAGATTGCATTGCTTACAAAATTTGGGCAAAAACTGAACTTCTGCACATCACATGTGTGTCATCTCCTCATATCGAAACTGCAATTTTTCCATTGCTTTTCCATTACGCGATACAGGACCATAAGAACGCACTAAATCTTGAGCGAATAAGGTATGCTGCCCATCTTGCTAAAAAGTACCATCATGGAACTTCTGCACATCACATGGTGTTAATCAAAACGGCCATTTTTCCATTGCTTTTCCAATGTTTCACGCGTGCTTTACGTGACTTGGCATCATTTTACCCTCTCCTCATTGTTTCCACCGTTGTAATCAATTTTCCAAGCGTTCTACTCAAATTTGCCATTGCTTTCCCATTCTTTTCCCATTGTTCATTGTTTATCCCAAATTTCAGAATGAAGATTGCATTGCTTACAAAATTTGGGCAAAAACTGAACTTCTGCACATCACATGACATGTGTGTCATCTCCTCATATCGAAACTGCAATTTTTCCATTGCTTTTCCATTACGCGATAATGGTCCCACATCGGAGCCTCAATTTTACTTGGCATCATTTTACCCTCTCCCTATTCTTTCCACCGTTTTTCCTCGCGTATCAATTTTCCAAGCGTTCTACTCAAATTTTCCATTGCTTTCCCATTTTTTCCCATTGTTTTATATCATAGTCTCTCATTTTTTCCATTGTTTTTCTCATCATTTTCCCCTCCTTTCCCATTTTTTCCCATTGTTTTATGTCATATTCCCTCATTTTTCCATTGTTTTTCTCATCATTTTCCATCATTTTCCCCTCCTTTCCCATTTTTTCCCATTGTTTTATATCATATTCCCTCATTTTTTCCATTGTTTTTCTCATCATTTTCCCCTCCATTGCAATCTCCCCAAGTCCACCTCGGAGGGCGGACCAGGGGGGAATCGATACCCCACCGTCACCCAATTGCCACCTGGTACATAACCCTAAAAAACTTTACCTGTGGCCACCTTTTTTACCACCTAATTTCCCGATTTTTGGCCAGTTGGGGGCGCTCTGCCCCCAGACCCCCTTAACTCACTTTGTTCGCAAAAAGAACTTCGCCTAGCCTAGCGGCTGGCTTTCGTGATATCCCTGTCAGTACTTCCTCCATGCGGCTGAGAAGCATCATGGGCCATGCAACTTTCTTATGGTAACTCCCTTCTTGTGGCTGACCAGCAGTCCTGCAAGTCCAAAGACAAAATTTGCAACAATACAGGCATTGTCCTCGACCTCAATCCGTCCCGAGTGTGAAGATTTGTGCAGTAAAGAAGTTCCAACCCTGGCTTGATTCCCAAGCGCTTTGACACAATTCTACGGATGTTCTTTTCCCACCAGGATTAGTCAAATACAAACAACTCTGAGCAAAAATCCTGCATCTGGCATAGAGCCCCATTTACTGGCATGGCTAGGCTTGCTCACAGTGTTCATATCCAAAAATCTGATAAACCTCTTGTGAAAGGGCCATGGATGCGGTCCAGTTTCTTGGCAGAGCTATGGCCTAGAACAGGGTCAATGGATCACATAAATCTGCCGCGTCCTCTCCCGCATCACCTGGATGCCATTCCTGTAGCGAAAAGGTGAGGTTCAATGCGTCACAAAAGCAATACGGCAATACGATGCAATACGTCTCAAATGAAATGTCTCAACATAGCTCGAACATAGCTGGACACTTGCTTGTTGATTTCTGCCACAATACTCCCAAAGCCACTGTCAAGATGTACCTGCCAATCGTAGAACATGTGCTGGCACCGCTGTCCCCACTGTATGCTCGATGACTTTGACCTTCCAAAAAAAGGACTGTTTGACAACGCTGCTATCGTTCACAGTCAAATGAGTCAAATGACACCAAAACTCTGGGGTTGCGGCTGATCGGAGTGGCTGACTGACAATTCTCTGGCTCCTTAACGAGAGCGTGTCCAGACACAATGAGGTTGGCCAAGTGAGATGGATGCTACGATTGCTACGAACTTGTGTTGATCAGTAAGTTGGCTCAAGGTCTAATTCCCTCACAAAGGGTCAGCAGCAATCGAAGTATGTCACTCAACCATACATTTACAAAAACCAAAACCATCGGAAAAAATCCATACACATGCGATCACATGCATGAAACTCATGAAACCGTCAGCTTGGAGTTGCCGGCCGCCCATGCCTCCATGTGCCGCTCCCAACAAACGCGTTCCACATGTACAAGTCGCTGGGATGCCTGCCAAAAAAAACCCTCACGTTGCAACCGCTGAGAGGAAGCAGGAGCTCATGGTGCAGCTCATTGAGTGTTCATGGTGCGTTTTGAGTCGCTCTTGTTTTGCACACAGACTGGCAGTGGACACAACCAAGGTTAGTCTTGCATATGAGGTCCTGCTATTTTGAGGGCTATTGACTTCCATGCCCAGATACAATTGGCATTAGAGAATACGTCTCAAACAATCTGACAAATTCAATAAACTCAATAAACTCAATAAAGCACAACTGTCCAATCCTACCAAAAAGTGCTGCTGGATCCCAACCTTCAAAGCCGCAGCAGGAGTTCCAGTCGCTGAACTGGCCAGCAGTAGCAGTTTCTAAATTGTCGGAATTGTATGGAGACTCTCAACGTTTTCCCAGAGTTTGCGGGGGCAAACCTATCCTTTATCAGTCCATGACTTTTGTTCTGCTTTTGTGCATATTTGTTGACTAGAACGCTCTGGGCGTTGCGTGAATTGTAACATGCATCATGTTATCTGTAGAGACGAGACATTTTTGTAGAAACTTAGTATCAGCACACTTGGAATTTCATTATAGTTTTGACATATAGTTTTGACTTGTCTGATGAGAAGCTAAGACCCAGCTGACACCAACTTACTGCCGTATGCTCCGTTTGGCCAACCTGGCTGGAGATGTCCTTTCGGACGTTTGCACATTTGCGGGCCGCCCCATTCTCACCTTTGCTGAGTCGTTTTCACTTCGGTTTCAGTGGAATGGTAAAAAGGTAGAAGCATCGCGTCACATTACATGGAAGAACAATGTCCACATGTTCAGAAAACTCCTGAAAGCATGCAATTTCTACCATTTTATGGTCGGAAACCAAGTGCCAATGCTGGACATGTCTGGATCTTACCTGCCCCTTGCAGCCCAGCAGAGCTTCACGCTTCGAGACCAGAGAGTCGCAGATCAGCTCGATTCAACCAAGCCTTCAACCCCCTTTAGTTTCCCGCAACTTGGCATTGGTTTGCACTTGAGTGCCCTCATCAGATCCTATCCCACATGTGTGTGTATATATATATACGTATATATATATATATTTATTTATTTATATATTTATATATTTATATACTTATATATTTATATTTATATTTTTATTTATTTATTTATGTCTTCCTTTATCTATTTATCTACTTATTTATTTATATTTTTTCACTGGTAGCACTTTTCGTCTGTGCTGGGCCAAAGGTGCATCTGTATAAATAGGTGATATGTGGGTTTCCACATGTCTGAGAAATGGACTGTGCTCACAGCTGCAAAAGTTGAGTCTGCTCATCATGTCGCTGGTGGCCGTTGTAGCATCAATGTTCACACCCTCTGGTGGTGGAGCAGGAAATTCTCGATTCTGATGCGTCTCTCTTCTTCGGTCAGACGATCATCTTCTCTAGCTGCGATTCTGGCACAGCGGAAGCCATGTAGTCCTTCCAGGGTCTGGAACTGCAAAGTCTCCGTGCCCTTGTGCAGCAAGTAGTGATCTCCCCTTTGGAAGTCTTGCACCACGTCTTCATCTCGATCGTGTCCAACCATTGGTATGTAAGGTGCTTCTTGGTGATATAGTTGGTCGATCACCGCGGCTGGAATCCTTCCATCTGGATACTGCCGTTAGCCATGGTGTGAATCTGTACCCCCAGGTTGTTTCCTTGAATAACCAGGTGATGTGTGTGAAGATCACGCCGCGCTCGTCGGTGTGCTGCTGGTACTCGGTATTCATATTCTTCTGGATCATGCAGCACGTCATCCGATGTCGGATCATCACGCCATTCATTTTCTTCTTCAAAGCTTTCGCTCTCAGGTCCTTCACATTCTCCATCTCGTGAGCGCGAAGCGTCAGCGCGAAAAGCTCTTTCGATGTATTCTCCTTCAGGTTGTGGTGAATCGCTTGGATAGTCATGTTCTCCATCTGGTTCTTCATCTTCTGGTCAGCTGTCATGTAGTCGACGTCGATGTCCTCCAGGTTCATCAGGATGTGGAGAAGCATGTCGAACTGCACGTAATAGGATGTACAAATCTCCACGTGCTTCTGCAGACCTTTTTTTCAGTCCATCAATCTCCACAGTGGTTGTGCCAGTTGAGCACTGCAGTTCTCCATCACCCTCTCGATGACAGGAAGCAGTGCTTGGTTCACCTTCTCATCCATCAGACGTCTTATAGAGCTCAGCTTTCTCCAAACTTGCCATAAGGCTCCACAGAGGCAGAAAATCGCCAGAGTCAAGACTGACATGACAATGACCTGTGCGGTTTCCCTTGGTGGTGAAACTTCTCCTCCGATTCCATCAGCACTGGGCTCTTGTCACAGAGCTTGCAACCTAGAGGAATGTCAGCAGTCGCATGTTGACCTTGGGTCTCCATGTACATGATGTACTCGATGTAGCGTAGAGCTGGATGTCGATGATGTCCTTCTCCGTCAGGTAGGACTTGAGCCAGGCCTCGTCATTCTTTTCGAGGTCGTCCTCTTCAAAGTCAGTGATCGTTGGAAGGCGTCGGGCCTCAATCGCATGACCAATCTTGCTGTGGAAGCGGACGATTCCAGTGGTCATCAACTTCAGCAAAGGTTTTGACGTCATGACCTTGGTCAGGGCGTCAGGTGTCAAAGATTCTGTTGGGATCAGGATGATCCATCGAACTCTTCCTTGTATTCTCGCCTCTCTGAAGGCCAGGATGTAGATTCGCGGACTTCGATCTTGAGGAAGTGCGGTGGTTCCAACTGTCAATGACCAAAAAGTCTCTGCAGTCGGTGTAGGAGTCGATTGGAAGGTATGGGATGCCTTTCTCTTGTAGTGCTGCAAGTTGTTGCAAAGTAGGTTTCTTCTCAGGCATCAACAAAGTTGCTGCTTCCAATCCAGAGATCGCTGCCAAAGTTTCTGAGTGGCTTGTAGAGTAAGACACTCGTTTGGCCTTTGAGCCATGTGAAAACAGTATGTAGGCTGTTCCACCAAAGATCTCCTCAGCCACGTTCTCGCCATTGATCGTATGGATTTTGGCGTCGAAGCTCATGTGATCAGGAGTCGCCAAAAGAGCCAGAACTCCTTCTTGGGCGTAGGTTCTTCCTTTGGAGGCAGCCGACTTGCCCTTGCCAAAGGTCGGGTTCTTGCCTTTGTAGGAGTCATTCGTTGGGCAAGAGTGGGTGCTTTGCCACTTTGATCCGCAGGTGCTGCATCCAAGTCCCATGACCTGAAAACGGCCTTTGCCTTTCCTTTGAAGTACTCATCAGACTCCTCAGGGTTGGATTCCTGCAACTGCTGTTGTTCACCTTCTTCAGCATGTGCAGGCTCTTCATCATCCCAACCGTAGTGCTCGGCAGGCCAGTCCTCGAAGTAGATCGCGGCAGTCTCATAGACCCAGGGGCTGTAGTGCCAATCGCTCTCAAACCAGGCATAGAGGTCATCAGTGAGGTAGCCATCCTCTGACCAGTAGTCGGTCACTGCGCTCCAGCTTCCATCATTTTGTCTGCTGTCCTCATAGTGCAGCGTCGAGCCACTGGTCTCTGTGCTTGGGTGTGCCATGCACAACATCAGAGCTCTCTCTGCCTTCCTCAAACCTCCTCATATCTCCATGGACATGCAACAAGATGTCGTCCAGGGATTTCTGTGCTAACCCTGGGCTCTTGAAGTACAAGTAGGTCTTCGCGACGTTGTTCAGGTCCAGGCCGCTGTGGGTGATCGCCTCGTCGAGGTTCAGCTGCCTCTGCACGCTCCATTCGGGGATTGACATTTTGTTCCTTCTGAACTCAAAGAATGTCTCCAAAGCTCGAGTAGCTTGAAGCTGGCTGGCTTCACCGAATGCAGCTCGAAGTGCAGTCATCAGGGCTTGCACCCCTGATGGTATGGCATGCTGTATGATTTGCCCCGAATCTGGGTCTTCTTCCACAGACAACCTCACTAAGGCTGCGTCGCCAGTGTCTACATGTCCATGAGGATCGGGCAGACGAAGTCCAAGGGCGATCTGCTGCGCTCGGCTGCGCAACCGGCCCGCTAAAAACAGTCCCACGTTCTCATCCACTCCATCGTAGACTCTATACCACAACCGTACTCTTTCCATGTACAGCTTGCGCGGATAAGATGCTATATGTTTGGCTCCCATCCAGGTGGCACATCTTTTCAGTACTCTTCCAGGCATTCCGCCAGCTGGTCCATGCACTGTCGCCATGCTGTCCACCAGGCTCCCAAAGTCCAAGGTGATGTCAAAGCGCAGCTCGTGGCGCTCATAGTGCTTTGGCGTAGGCAACGAGGCCAAAGGTCGAAGAACGTAGGCAAATGGAGCCAGTGTCAGCTCCGCTACCAAACTTCACTGGTAGCACTTTTGGTCTGTGCTGGGTCAAAGGTGCACCTATATGAATATGTGATACGTGGGTTTCCACATGTGTGAGAAATGGGCTATGTTCATAGCTGCAAAAGTTGAGTTATATTGTATATATAAATGTATATTATATTATATCATGTTATATATATATATATTTATATTATATTATATTATATATTATATTATATTATATTATATTATATATATGTATATATTATTAATATATTATATTTTACTAATTATAATATATTATATTATATTATATTATACTATATTATACTATACTATACTATATTATATATATATTATACTGTATTATGTATATTATATTATATTGTATGTATATATATATTATACATATCACATGTGTATATACACATAGAATCCTGTTGCAATTGCTAGCATTTCCTTTCCAGAAAACTTGCTGTCATTCAGACATTACGGCTAGCCTGTTTGGGAATGTGTGTTTGGCCCTTTACCACTTCTTCTTGAAAGGAAAGAAAACACATGGATCACAATAGTATGAACATCTGTCCTTGAAATGAATCCGCCCGCACCGAAGGTGCTGGGGCGTGATCTTCCGGATGGCACTCGTAAAAGGTTACAGGTTTACCTGGGGGGGGGGGGCATTTTTCGGCCAAAACCTCCTGTTTTTGATAGGTCGTGACGCTTGCTTCAAAAAACACTGTAAAAAACAGTACGGAAGACACCTGTTCGTGAACGCGCCCGTCCAAAATCGGCAAGCGAAAAGTGAAAAAAACCCGTGTTTTTCAACTTTTTGACCTCAATTTTTTGGTTTGCAACATCTTTTTTTGCGGTTCCGCAGATGGCCGGGCCCGGAGGCGGATTTTTGAGTTTTTGGACCCGTTTTCGGACTGATTTTCGTCGTTTTGTGATAGCAGAAACACTGGTTTTTACAGTGTTTTTCTGTTTTCTGCATGCTTGACGGCTAGCTTCAAAACTTCCAAAAACCTCGTAAATTACGCTGTTTTATGTTACGGTGTGAATGAAAACATCGTAAATACCAGTGTTTTTTGACGTTGGTTAAAAAAACACTGTAAATTACAGTGTTTTTGGCCACCTGACCCTCAAAAACCATGGTATTTGCAGTGGTTTCTGCTTCTCACCGCGCAAAAACACTGTAAATAACAGCAATTTCGCCGTTTTTTCATGTTTTTCGTTATTTTTTGAACTGCGTTGGTCCGCTATACATGGCTATCAAATTCTTCGCGTTTTTTTTTCCGACAATCAGTACTTTCGGATGTTTTTGGTCTCAATGGCCGACATCATTGGCAGTTACGAGCGGCTGCCCAACGATGCGGTGCGGGCGGTTGCCGTCGCGAAGCGACGTGAATTACAAACAGTTGCAAAATCAATTCCAAGACACCTGAATCTCTTGAAGTTGCTGGATCTGCCTTGGTAAAGGCAAGTGGATCGCATTTCACACTGTTAAATCTTGTGCCCAGAGGCAGAAGGAAAGTCCATGGTTCGTCAAGTCAGTTTGTTGAGACTTGTGAGCAAAGGTATAATCGCACGCATGTCTACGGCACTATATTATACATTGACTTGTTTAGCTTCTGAAGCAATGAAACTGCCGCAAAGATGAGTACTAGGGAGATACCTGAGAAGGGGGGGAGGAAAGCCAGCCCGCGAGCCGCAGTGATGCTCCCTTGCAGTCTCTCTACAAACACCAGTCCAAGCAAAGACTTGTTTCTATCATCTCTTGATTCCCCTTTGTTACCTTTGTTGCAAAAAAGGTGAAGTTGGAAATTACCGTAAAAGAACTCTTCAACAAGAAGAAATAATGCAGATGCAGCATTATTGCATAATATTCAAGGCACACAAATTCCTTGAAGCTCCACATGATCAAGTTGTTTTTGCATCAGAAACACTCGCAATTACGGTGCTTCGTGCCATCAAAAATCACTACCATTTCCAACGTTTTCTGCATTTTCACGTTTCCAAGAGTACCTTGTTTACCCCGTAAACAAGCTAAGAAAAACTCCAAGACACCAAGTCCTACTACTTATGACCCTCAGGACTAGCCAAAGATCGACAAAACAACACGGCTGAGGGCACCGAAACACAGCTACCTATGATGTTCTTTGCAGCTGCATAACAGAACATAATTGCCACATGTTGCTAATCTCTAAAAGCCAAAACACAAAAACTTACGACATCTTTGACCACAAGATGACAAAACACTAGTATTCACCATCTTTTGCGAAATCTGCCTCTAAAAAATAACATCGTGGTGCTTTGACTCTTTTCACATTTCCAAAAGTACCTTGCAAAAATACCAAAAACCCTGAACCTGCAAAAACTAGCCAAAAATTGACTCATGTCGCATCGGCAAGCTCCTTAGACACAATTCCAAAAAACACCATTTCGGAGCCTCAAAAGCTTTCGCCTTCCCCCACCTGACGCTGGACCCATGTGCGCCCACACCCCCCACACCGTCCAAATACTTCGTGAGCCGAAAGAACTCAGCCCAAGCCTTCGGCTGGCTTTCATAACATGTATTTCACCCAACAGGAAGTCCTTATGGGAAGAAAAAATGGCAGTGAAACCATGAAACCTGCAACCTTCAAGGAAAAACATGAGAACCTGCACATCAGCAGTTGCAAACGTTATGTTGACAAGTATCTCACATACCAAAAACATCCTGCACTGAGCATC